CAGTTAGAAGCCTTGCTTAAAACCTACAACCTAACAAGTGTAGTAAACTTCCTACCCACACTCAACATAATTCTGCTACAGCTATAGACAATATCTTTATTGACACTAGAAAGGCTGGTAATTAGTCTATAACTCCAATAATTAATGGGCTATCAGACTATGATGCTCAGATTATAACATTTTATTCTTTTAGTATAAGACCGCCTATCAAAAAATGTACGTCAGTTAGAAAGATTAATGAACATACAATAAATGATTTTCTTCTTAAATTAAGCTACGAAACTTGGTATGCTGTTTTCTCTACAGATAATGTTAATCAAATTTTTAACTCCTTTCTAGACTCCTATTTGAAAATCGTTTATTATAGTTTTCCTCTAAAGACTCTCCTCATCGCAAAAAAAAAAAAAATAACAACTGGATTACCTTAGGAATTTTAACTTCTTGCAAAGGTAAAAGAGAACTCTTCATAACATGTAGGAATAGTAATAATGTAGTTCTCATAAACTATTGTGGGAACTGCCCACATTCAAGCAAGTGTGACAACGCAAGCGTCATTGCTTAGCAACGACGAGTAAACAACGGTTGCTATGCAGAAGCAAGTAAACAGCGGTTGCTAGGGAACTTATAAACACAGTAACCGGCAATAGCGGTACCTATTACGAAACCGTTTTCTATATGTCCGATTCTAGGCTACATAAGAAGATACACTGAGTTACATTGACAGTCTAGCTCTACCGTTCTACAATACCAGTTCAGTGTTCAAGCAGTTCACTATTGTTGTTATCCATCTGTGTATACTGTACAGCTGCAATAAATCCTATAGGACAGTTCAACTAGTGGTTGTCTATTCATTCATACAACATCCCACACTATTATAAAAAGTACTGCAAAATTGTCAAGGAAGCAAAAAAACTTAATTATGCAGACAAACTTAATAAATCCCTGAACAAAAATAAAATTATTTGGGACACAGTTAAATTAGAATCCGGTAAAACCGGAAATACTGATAAGGCTATCACTTTAAATATTGAAGGGACTCCAATTAGTAACCATCAAGAGACAGCAAACGAATTTAATAAATACTTCTTATCCATAGCTAAAAATATTAACATCAAACATAATGAACCTAGTTCTCATAAGTTAGATCATTATTTATTGCAGTCTTTCAAGACTCCTTTCCCAAATATAAATCTAAAATTTTTATCCTCCAAAGAAGTTTAAATATAATAAAATCCCTTAAATCCAAAAATTCCTCTGGATATGATGGAATATCTACTAAATTTCTGAAAATAAGCTCGTCTCTTATTATTCACTTTTAACTTATACAACTTATTGTAACTTAAATTTTGATCTTGTGACTCATTCTATATCCTATGGCTTGTATTATGCCTGTATCAGGATCAATTAGAAAGTGAAATAAATGAATGAATGAATGAATGAATGAACGAACAAGTAACAAATCGATATCTTTAGGATTTTTTCCAGATCGTTTGAAATATGCAGTAGTTAAACCCTTGTTTAAGAAGGGTGACAAGTCTAGCATTTCTAACTGCAGACCTGTATCTATGTTAAGTTCTTTTTCAAAAGTGATTGAAAAAGTCATGTACAACTAACTCCAGGAGCATTTTAAGAAATATAGTATCTTATCAGATGAACAGTTGGGGTTTAGAGCAGGCTCTTCAACAGGCAATGCCCTGTATAAGCTAATTAATGAAACCCTGCAAGCTTTAAACAGTAAATCTACAGTAGGTGGTATCTCTTTTGACCTTGAAAAGGCATTTTATTGTCTGAACCATGATATTTTGTTGTCTAAACTACACTTTTATGGTATTAATGGTAAAGCTAAATCATGGTTTGAATCATATCTTAATAACAGATATCAGAGAATCCAGGTTTTGGAAGAATTAAATCAAACAAGCTTCTCTACGTGGGGAAAGATAACTGATGGGGTTCCCCAGGGTTCGGTTTTGGGCCCGTTGTTGTTTCTTATTAATATTAATGATTTGCCTAAAATGGTAAATGATAATACTATACCTATATTATTTGCTGATGATACAAGTATATTAGTTAAAGGTTGTAATTTAAAGGATTTTCAAAATAATAAGAACTAGGATGGAAAGAGAATCATGAGATTCAAAATACTGGCATCGAAGAGTCCCAGGGGAATAGAATGGTAGATCAGAGGTAAGTGCTGAAAATTTGGGAAAATTATATTACAGAACTATATGATCGACCTAATCAGCCAGAAACCTTAGAAGTTGAACCGGAAGAAGAAGTAGATACAGATGAGAGAGGACCATATATTTTACAAAGTGAGGTGGAAAAAGCTATCAAGGAAATGAGGAAGGGAAAGGCTACAGGAGATGATGATGTACCTGGAGATGTGCTTAAGTCGCTGGGAGAAGGTGGTCTGAAAACACTGACAAAACTAATGAACACCCTATATGAAACTGGGGAGTGGCCCAAGGACTTTACAACAGTGACAATGATTGCCTTAAAGAAAAAGACAAAAGCTACAAAATGCAGCGACCATCGCACAATAAGCCTTATTGCAAATACAGCAAAGAAAATAGCAAAGATACTTAAAAGAAGAATTGAAACCAGGGATGCAATTGGGATGATGAGAATTATAGCAGAACGAACTTTGGAGATAGATGAAGAACTGTGTGTTTGCTTCATAGACTGGCAGAAGGCATTTGACCAAGTAAACTGGACCAAATTAATGCAGTTCCTAAAGGAAACAGGTATCGATTGGCGTGAAAGAAGATTGATTAGCAAATTGTACATGGATCAGAAAGTTAGAATACGACTGGACCGAGGGGAGACAAGAAGTGTGCAGATTGGAAGAGGAGTTCG